AACTTTAAAACCCCTCACAAATGAATTTTGAAAATTGGTGTATTTTATAAACATTTGATGGCAATTAGGATACTAAATTGAAAATTCAAAAATTTTAATCAGTGGCGTCACATACTGGGGAGGGTGAGGGTTAAAACATCCCTATTTTTTTTACTTGTCAGATCTTTGCGATTCTGATTGAAAATTCGGAAAGTTTAGAGTTTTTTACACAGAGAAGATACTCTTAGTTCAATTCGATATAGCGTACCGTTTAAGAGAAAATTGACTTTGAAAATTATCTCGTAAAAAAATTGTGTAGTTTTCTCCATTTAGCCGCTGCGGTAAAAATACAGGATGTTTTAACCCTCACATTCCCCAGTATGTGACGCCACTGATTAAGATTTTTGAATTTTCAATTTAGTATCTTAATTGTCATCATCATTCCTGAATCAATAATCCTTGAAAATTTGAACAGCTTCGCATTAGCTCTTCAGATAATATGAAAGGGGGTTGTTTGAATTTCAACACCCTGTATTTTGGAAACGACGCACTTCCGACCATCGGTGACCTATCTCAAACTACTTCTCTATGGTTCCTCTATACAGGGTGTCACGAAAGGTTTGTTACAAACTCCTAGGGATGGTAGATCTCGTAAAAATAAAGCTTTTTTCTTAATAAACATGTGTCCGGAAATGCTTCGTTTTCCAGATACAGGGTGTCCCACGGTGGATGGCGTATTAGACGTTAATGGAAAACTGAAGAGCGGATCATTTTGAAAATTTGGCAACCAAGATAAACAACCCTATTCTACACTTTAAAAATATTTTTGTTTATGCGGTGTTGCCGCTTCTACTCTAAACCAGTGGCAACATCGCTATTTTAAATGAAACACCCTGTATGTGATTGCATATTTGGATTCTACGTAAAATTCTGAGCAGATTTCATGTGATATACTCTATGCCTAAGTTCAACTGTTTTGGAAATATTGACAGTTGAAAATTGACTTTTTGCAACTTTGACAGGCTGTAAAACCTGAACGGTTAACTTTAGAGGAAAACCGATTTTACATTCCTATGTTAGATTATTTTTATAGACTATCATTTGACACCAACTTTGAATTTAATCAGAGATTAAATTTAATTGGAATTTTTAATCATGGATTAAATTCAAAGTTGGTGTCAAATGATAGTTTATAAAAATCTAAGACAGGAATGTGAAATCGGTTTTCCTCTAAAATTAACCGTTTAGGTTTTATAGCCTGTCAAAGTTGCAAAAAGTCAATTTTCAACTGTCAATATTTCCAAAACAGTTGAACTTAGGTATAGGGTGTATCACATGAAATCGGCTCAGAATTTTACGTAGAATCCAAATATGCAATCACATACAGGGTGTTTCATTTAAAATAGCGATGTTGCCACTGGTTGAGAGTAGAAGCGGCAACAAAAATATTTTTAAAGTGTAGATTATGGTCGGTTGCCAAATTTTCGAAATTATCTGCTTTTTAGTTCTCCATAAACGCCTGATACGCCATCCACCGTGGGGCACCCTGTATACAGGGTGTCAAACTTTTCAAGGAAAACATCTTTTTTTTTTTTTAATAAGAATTTGAAAAAATGGGGTGGCTGAGCGTCAAGTTAGCCCCGCTATAATGCTTAAACAAAAATAGGGTGATGAAATAAAGTAGGAGGGAAAGGAAAATATGTGCAGCACAATTCAGATTTTCAAGGAAAACACTTTTTAGACGACTATTCTCCTAGGAGACAGAAACTAAGCGCGCAATTTGTGGGTTGCAGGCTTTGACATGTTCCTCTGTAAAAAATATACTCGAAAATATGTATATGAAGTCTTTTTTTTCCCCAAGTCAAAAATTTAGTAATTATTTTGTTGGCAACACAAGTCTTTTCTACATAAAAAATTTGAAAGTATTGACATTTTTACATGTATTGCCAACATAATGCCCTGTGATAATGCCATCTTGACTTTTATCTTTAAAAAAAAAGCAGACTTTCACACTGGAGGAAAAACCACTATAAATCTTCAGTTTTAAACTACTTTTACTGTAAGCAAAGCTGTAATATACACTTGTATTATGTTTATTTTGAAGTTTATTTATCATCAAATCACAAAAGCATGTTGTTATTAGCTTAGATTAACTGATTAATCCAGCTTAATATATTATAATAGCGACAGAAGATCTTTCAAAATCTACAAAAATCTTTGAAAATCCTCAAAAATCTGTTAAAATCTCCAAAAATCTTTTAAAATCTCTAAAATCCCCTAAAATCTTGAAAATCTTCTGGGATCTTAAAAATCTTCTAAAATCCTGAGATTTCCAAAATCCTACAAAACCATTAAAGATTTAAAATCTGTGTACATATTCTAAGGAGTTAACCACCCCTCGGTGCCAACGTTGTTTCATGCTGTCAAAAAAAAGTTGGGTTATGTTGTTATGAAATGTGATTGAGTTTGTTTACAATTACATTAATGATTAATTCAAAATTAATTTTTTTTTTCCGAGATGCGTAACCTATCCAGAAACCTTCCTGGGGGTTAATTGCAAGTCGTCAGAGAGACCCCGAACTGCAATATGTGATTGTACGGCTGGGCTGGGTGGATTTTATTTATTAATGGTGGGTTTCATAAGGGAAGGTAGTGGATTATCAGAACTTTTCAACATTACGCTGCTGTTAGGACCGAAAAATTGATGACAGGTCACGCCTATGCAAGGGCGGTCAGAGCACACATGCTAGCTTACAGGACTCTGGCATCAATAATATTGTACACAATTGATTTTTCTACCTCATTTCAATTCAAAATTGAACAAATTTTGAACAACTTTGACCGATCGAAAATTCTGAACGCACACGAGAAGGATTGTGTTAAGGAACTTGCTTCGATATTTGAAGACAAAGCTTAACCAACTCACAGGCCTAGGACCCACTGCCAAGTTGTGGAGTCAGTACTTTCAAATGGTAACACTAATCTTAAATTTCATAGATGCAAAGAAAACAGGCAACTGGGCTTTACACCTGGAAACTATCCATGACATGCTTCCCTATTTCTATGCCAGTGGGCACTTTCTGTATGCCAAGTGCTGCCGCCTGTATTTACAGGATGTTGGAGCTATAATACACTACGCCCTAAGTGCGCGTTCACATTGACACCGCTCAAGCGGTGAGCGTTGTGCGATGCCGTTCTAGCGGTGCCAACGCTTGCGATGCAGGGCGTTGTTGTGTTCATATTGGTGAGAGTTATTCAGGACCGTGGTAACACGTCAAAAACCGTCCCATGAACAGTTTCGAAACCACTCTGTACACGAATTTCTGACTCTACGCACAAATTTTTGGCTTTACGCAGAATCGTGACGGTACATTGTATGGTTTCTTGGTGTGTTGGAACAGAGCTAATGTCACCCCTGCGAAAGTATTTGCTCTAGGAAAACTCATGACCATATGCTTATTTTAAAAAAAAAACTTAGAAGAAAATCAGCTTATGAAGTAGGTAAATCAATAGCACTTCTTATGTGGGGAATTTTATCAACTGTATCGTCAACTGCGACAAGATTCTGCACAATTTTTCAGTGCAACATGTTCATTTGAAATATAATGTTAAAATTATTTTTGGGCATCGTGCAAGGCTTACCGCTCGAGTGATGCCAATGTGAAGGCGCACTAATAAATTAAAAACTTTCAGTTTGCAAGGCGGGTTCACTATTCGGCGAAGAGCTCATGAAACATATGAAATCTTCTGGTTGACTCACTAGAGGTCGTAGTATCAGCGACGCTATCTTGTCAAGATAGACTTTGGAGATTCCAACGCATAGAAAGATTTGCGATGCTGTGAAAGGATTCAGGAGAATTGGTTTTGCATCATCAGAGCAACATATAGATAGTCGAGAATGTTCACAAACCCGAAACAAAATAGATGCAAAGAAAATTATGGAATGGTTCCACCAACACCCGCCGTTCCCGGAGACAGCTGAGCTCATTTCCTTGAGCACTGGAGTCGTGGGCGATGAGAAAATAAACTGCCACATGTCTAGGGAAGAAGGTATCAAGTGTATTGACAAAATGTTGGCAATTGTTGGTAACAATTTCCAGTTAGTTAAATTTAAGCGTAACGATAGGGTGTTATCACTTGCCACCATAAAATCTTCAATAATGGTTCATGATCAATCTGTAGTTGTTAATGCAACTACCCCATTTCAACGCATGAGCATTGTTAAAAAATCAGACGATGTACTCGAGGACTTCTTGACACACGAACTGAGTCTCTTTCCACTTGCTCTATTTGATAAAAAAAACGGTGGTCCGATGAGGAAAGGGAGAAAATTGCAAGGCTTCACAAGTAGAACCATCCACGGTACGTAGTTGCCAGTGGTTTTCTCCTGCAAAAAGTTGTCTGACCTGAAAATAAGATGTTTTTATGACAGCTATGTTGAATATAGTCTTCAACGGCTACTCTGATACACAGAAAGGAACTGAACAAATGGAGCGCTTTAGAAGATCAAAGACGCAGTCAGTTAATATCCAAGTCAATGACAAAATGGTGCCCACAGTCCCCCAGGAGAAATTACTATCTAATACCAACAACAAATGCAGATTCATTAGCATGCTTCTACAGAAATTCAGTGCAGTCCAAACTAAGTAAGCAAGTGTAGATGCAGACACTCTGATTGTGCAAACAGCCCAATCCCTTGCTGCAGATCACGAAACTGTTGTAGTTGTTGGAGAGGATATGGACCTCCTAGTCATTATAATTGGACCAAGACGTCTCCCAATGTACATTATTTGAAAACAGGCAAAGGCAAAAATCTTCCATCTGTTTACCATTTTCGCCATCGAGAAATGCCTGATGGCAGAACACATACTATCCATACATGCTGTCAGTGGTTGTGACTCAACGTCATCAGCATTCAAGGTTAGGGGGAAATGTAGCATCCATCCCCTTCATTAAAGCTGCAACCCAGCAACACAGTGAAAGGGTGTTTCATCAAGTACAGCAGTGGGCGCAGTGGTTGGGAAATATTCAACTACCTGAGCAGTGGGTATAGAAAATTATTAGAGGCAACTTGATTCTCATCACGACCCTTGAGCCCCCAGCTCCAGATACGCTTCTGAAACTCATTGCCTGTAAGTCCCAGAAAGGCTGCAAGGGCAGATGCGGATGCAGAAGAATTAGGTTACACTGCTTTAGACTTTGTTTGAATTGTGAAGGAAGCTGCTTCAATATAGAAATACTCAGTGATGATGACGATCAAGACGTTTCACCTGAGAAGATCGAAGGTAGTTTTAGAAATTATTATCCTAATCTAGTATTTATCACTGTAAATTAGAAACTATAGCTTCACAAATCAAAATGTCATAATAATATGTTTTTTCCAGTGGGAAGACCAGCGCCCATCCTTCAAAAATTAGAGCAGTCCACTGCCCGGAGAGGAGTAGAAAGAAAATCTTACGTTGCTCAGCATATACAGCCTGGTCCATCCAACTAAACGGAATATCTGCGAACGCAATCCTGAGCCTCATGAAGGTATTGACAAATTTTGTCCATAATGAACATGAACGACATGGATTATGGATTCTATTATAGTCTTCATTCTCCTTGTTTCAGGTGATAATTCTGCAGATGAGGACGACGAATGAATATAGAAATTATTTAATTTTCACTTGAACAAAAGTATTTCTTGAACCAGACAGCTGAAAGTAATGATATCCTCTTATCTTGAAGCACTACTAATACAAGAATTACAAAAGCATAATAATTATTCTAATATTATTTTTGATGTTTACTTAGTTCAAGAATCAAGAAAATGGCCGATTTCAAACAGTTATTTTCTCATCGACCAACGCCCATAAATTTTCCGATAGCCCACATACCTATTTAATTTACCCTGTTTGTATTAATTGATTTCTTCGAGATTTTTTTTTCTTCGGATTTATGCCAGCTATGCACGTGTTTTATTTATTTGCGCGGCCTCCGTCGCTTTTTTCCAAGACCGGCTCTCCGAGTGACAAAACAAATTCAGTTGCATAATAATGGTCCATATGAGATTCGCCCATAACCAGAGTAAGTATATAAGACCCATGGCTGGGCTTGGTTTTTGGCCATATCGATTTGTACAAATTGGTCAGTGGTGTTAAATATTTTTATTGAAAAAAAAAAAAACTGTTTTGTGACAATTTTTGCAGAGAGATTTTCAATTGATCATTTGTTATAATGAAAGTAAGTATTTTAGTTTTGTTTTTTTTATAAATAACCCAGTGAAAAGAATGTTCCAAAAATAAAAATATTTCGGATAAATCTTACAAAAAATGTGTTGTTTTTTTAGTCTATCATACAGAGTTTTCAAGCCTCGTAGTATTTATTATTTTTCTTATTTTTTTTTGTTTCAAACAAAATTATCACATAGTTGTTTCATATTCTACCTAACTTGAACACGTTTGAGGCAATTTTTTTTTTGTTCTAATGTTTAAGTATTCTTAATTATGGTTGGTAGTTTGGATATCTTCATATCATGCACTCAAAAAACTTTTTTGGATAGATTTTCATAAATGAACAATTAACAGGATATAGATGTTTTCTGTGAAAAAATCATTTATTACGTTACATCATTATCTCGATTATTAATTATTACCAAATAAGCAAAATTTTTTTCTACGCTTTCCAAAAAAAAAGTGGTTATTTATTTTGATATAGTTTATATTCTTAGTTGTTAGCACGTCAGATTAAAAGCTGTTAAACCTTATTCCCTCATTGAATTGTAAAAAAACACAAACTACCAAAGAAGTTATTAGTTGAATAAGTATAACATTTGTTCAAGTGGATAAAGTCAACTGAAGCACCTAGAAGTATATAATCCATGGAATTGGTACATTTTACCTTGCACGAAATACCTCATTTCTGATTTTTTGATATGTTGTATCTGATGAAGTGGAAATGACAAATCCGAGTTTCGGGGTCATTGTTAAATATTACTAAAACCACAAAATTTTTACTTTTTTCTTACTTTGGCATGGCGTCATTTTATCACGTCATTTTATCACGGACCTCTAGCCTATTCTATTTGTATGTACAGGGTGTCTGGTTATAATTTGACACCCCTCCTGCAGCCTTTACCTTTACAGGTAGATGATAGGTGTGAACACAAAAGTTGTGCAGTTTTAACTAAATTATCAGAATCCATCGTCAGAAACAAAAGTTTATTGTAAGAAATTTAAAATTTTGCGCACTTTCAACAATGAAATGCCCCATATTTGCTTCCAATATATAGTTTGTCTATATTTGTTTGAGCCGCCTTCAACATATTTGGCTCTAAAAATTGGAAAAATTCTATCCAACTGACGATTTTGTGAACCATTCTGATGAAAGTATTTTTAAAATTTCTGAATATGGTGGAGACGGCGCAACTAAATATAAATATATAGAATCAAATATAGGGCATTCTATTTGAAAAAAGTACGCAAAATTTCAAATTTCTGACAATAATTAAGCTAAAACTGCTCCAGTTTTGTGTTTACACCTATCATCTATACCTATATATAAAGGTAGGATGTCAAATTATAACCAGACCCTGTACCTTCCAATATTTTGTATGGCCCCCCTTTTAATTTGGGTCTGGATCCGCGCCTGGCAATTTGAAGTTTCCCATAATTTGAGCAAAAAATAGTTATTTCCTACAACCACATGCGAAAATGACAAAATCCACACTACGCGTGCCGGAAGTACTTTCAGCACACGTGTGGAAAATACTGTTGACATTATTTGTGATTGACATCACAATTTACTTTCAATACGTGGATTGAAAGTACTTTCAGTACGTGTGTTGAAAATGAAAAGAAATAAAATATGATAAAATTCGTGTAAATCAGTTTCCGGTCGTAGGAAAAATGTTGTACATCGCTTGTGAGAAAGCGCCTTTCATACACTCGTGTAATTTGTCACTTTCTACACTCGTAATGTAATGTACTAATTGGTTTCCTGTCCGGTGTCAGTTATTTGTGTCCTGAGTGTGCGAACTAGGCATTTCGCACACTGGAGAATCATTTCGCGCACGGCGTCAAGGGAACGTTAAAAAAAATCTACCTGGGAAAAAAAGTGTCACTTCGCAAATTGTCATCAGTGTGCAAACATCATCATTTTTTGACGGAAAAATTAGTTATTTTTGTATCTAGTGCGCGAAATGCTACTTTGGTGATCGAGATCTGATTTTTTTAACAAGGCGCAGCCGAATTAAAAAAAATAGTCGAGATCACCAAAGTATTTCGCGCCCGAGTTGCAAACAATATTTTTTCTACAACTCTATTTAAATATCGATCATTCGATTCATTCGAAGCCAAAATTGCATTTTCAATCAAAGGCAGGTGAATTTTAATTATTTTTGATTTCCTGACAGGTATGTGTCACCATGACACCCAGTGTGCGAACTAGCTATTTCGCGCACGGCGTCATGGGAACGTTAAAAAATCAATACCTGTGAAAAAAGTGTCACTTCGCAAACTGTCATGAGTGTGCAAACATCATCATTTTTTCACAGTTGTAGAAAAAATAAATTATGTGTTGCCTATTTATCACCCCCAATTCATAGTTCAAATTAAAAAAAAAATTAGCTGAACTGAAAAATTTAATTAAGAATTAAGAAATTTTTAGCCGATTCATAGTTCAACTATCTCTTTTTCTCATTGTTTCTTATAGAAAAAAAGGAATTTATTTTTTTTCTTCAAAACTATTGAAGGTGAAGGTATAAAACCTTATATCATTGAAAACAGCTCACAAAGAGCTATTCAATGAAAATAGTTATTTACCTAACAAATGCGGAAAGTGATACTTTACCGCACGCAACGGCAGTTGATTAAACGACGCGAAGCGGAGTTCGGTCAAGCCGTTAAGGGCGGTGAAGGCACTTTCCGCATGTGTTAGGTACAAAATTTTACCTATGAGCATCTACACCTCCAAAAAAAGCATTGATAAAATAAATTAATGAATCAGATTAATTAATGGAATAAGATTAAATTTAGAAAGGATCAAAAATCCATTTTCTGAAAAAGAAAGGAATTTTGATTATAAATATCAAATTCTACTTTACCGCACACTATGCGGTAAAGTGGACTACAAAGTGTTCGGTAAAGTGCACTTTACCGCATACTATGCTGTAAAGTTAACTTTACCGCACACTATGCTGTAAAGTTAGTTTTACCGCATAGTGTGCGGTAAAGCGATACTTTCCATTCTCAAAAACGTGCGGTAAAGTGCACTTTACCGCACGCTCGTAGGTAAAATAATATACGGGGTGTCCCGTTTAAAAAACCACAACCTTGGTCAATAGTCCAAAATCGGAGGCATCTGGAAAAAAATTGATCATGTCATTGGATTCTACTTGAAAAACTGCCTATAGAAAGTATTTTTCGTTTTTGGATACCTTGAATAATAAGGAAATTAGAGGGTCTTTTAAAATTGGACAAAATTTGAAAAGTGCCCTGTATTTCCTAAACGCATCAAGTTAGCCGTGATTTGTCTTCGCCATTGTTATTTCCCCAAAAAAAGAGGTTGAAAATGTGCTCCCAGAATTTTTGATATCTCTGCTGGTTTTTGATATAGCCTATTGAAACATCGAAAATGGGCCACCCTGTATATGCCTGCCGCGGACGGGAAATGCGTTTCCGTCCCGATTTCCCTGCTTGCACACCTGCTTGTTTTTTTGTCAAAATTGATGACATTGACAAAATAAAAGTGAAAGCTGATTTTTTCTAAGGCCAATTTAGACTACATATTATTTTGTACCATAAAATCTTTTGCCTCAGAAATTGAGGGTTGAAAATAAAATTGTATACAAACCTCGACGGAAAACTTCATTGCTCTCTAGAGATTTAGTTTATCAGAATCAGAATCAGAATCAGAATATCTTTATTTTAAAGAAACATACAAAAGAGATTATAAAAAACATCAATTGTTGTTTAACTAAATAGTGTCAAAATATATACCTAAAGTTAAATTTAAATTTGAGTTTTACAATGATAAGTATTCTCCAAATAAAAGAGTTAAAAAAGGAACATTTTAAAATTTTCTCCAGAATATAATTTGAATATTTGTAAAGTAAATTGTGCTTACAGTCAAACAGTAAAAAATAAGTCATCAGTACATACATAGTTAAAAAGAACAGAACAGTTAAAAAGACAGGTACTTTGTATAAGATAAAAACAAAGAAAGACAACTTTACAGTTTAAAATACAAAATATCACAAAAAGTTATCACAAGTCTGGCCAACAGTTAAAAGGAACAAAATATTTTTACCACTAGAGAGGAACAAAATAGTTTTCAGTTATTACTAGGTAGGTACATCTTAATTTAGAAATTCATTAATCGTGTAAGGCTCTATTGAAACGAGATGCTTAAATAAAACTTTTTTAAAACAGTTTTGTGTTATTTTTAATTTTAATTTTTGGGGAAGAAAGTTGAAGAGTTTTATACACATGTAGGTGGGTCCAGTCTCAGTGAGAGCAAGCCTGTGCACTGGATAGTTTAAGACAATTGACCTGGTGTTATGTTTGTGTTCTGGGAGATAGTTGAAAAACTTATCAAAGTTTTTATGTAGGAACATAAGACATTCATCAGTGATGCCAGGTCTGGTGAACTTTCACCAAATCTGGTGATTTTATGAAAAATCTGGTGATCGGTGAAAAACTTTTTGAAAAATGTCAGTTTCTGGTGATTTTGAAACTTCATCAATTTTAAATATTTTCAACAATGGCATACACTTTATAAACATCCCTCGTAATGTATTAAAATTTTACTTCATTAACATACAAATTTCATTTGTTTGACAGAAAACCAAATACCCATAAGTGGTGTGTGAGGTCCTTTGATTTTTATATAAATTTGTATTTGTTCCTTTGATATATTTATATATGTTTCCCTTCAATTTTTGTTTATTCCAGGCTCTTGTTGCTATTGGCCGGTTATTTTTCAAGTTGGCAACATGTATTTTATTTGGCCAGTGGCGTTGCTCATGGGGGGTTTCAGTCAAACTACTCGAAAACTCGAAATTTTTATTTTTCATATTTTCGAAATTTTGACTTCTACAATTGATTCAGCGGGTTTAAATTAATCGAAAGAAATTCTAACATCACTTTCAAAATGGCGATTTCACAAAGCTAAATAATCACAATTTTCATTCTGGAAATTTTTTCAAATCTTAACAAGGTTAGAAATAATGGCCAATATTTTCA